GGTAGGGGAGAGCAAGCAACGGAGGGAGGGGGGATAGAATGAGTTGGGCGAGGCCTCAGAGAAGGGGCGGAGCAGAGGCATAGCCTCAGGGAAAGAGCGGGGCAAGGGTGTTTGGGTTTGTGTGATTACTTGTCATTTCTACATTTTCTCGGATTGTACTTAAATTCAATAAGTGATCTTGTGCTTAAAAACGTTGGAGACCACTGACCTAGTCTATCTGAGATCGGTTTTCAGAAATTAGAAAGTTAGCAACCCTAACACCCTTGCCCTACCCCTGCTCCCCTTCTTCACCTGAGAACCTGCCTCTGCCCTGCTCTTCCCCGAGGCCTCACCCCCGCTCATTCCTCTCTCCTCTCCCTCTGTCGCTCACTCTTCAGCCCTGTCTCCCAGGAATCACCTGCTGAGAGGAGCTGATACGGAACCTGCTTGACTGCCCAATCTGGGCACAGCGGGACGGGGGTGGGTGGGTACCTGGAGTGAGGGGCCAGGGCAGTGGGACATGGCATGGTTCAGTCCCTGGAGCAAGGGGGCGTGGCCAGGGAAGAAGGGGGGTGGGCAGTATCCCCCCCGGGGGTGGCGGCACCTACTTCTTGGAGCCCGGTCTGGAAACCAGCCACTGCTCTCTGTCAGGTGTCAGCAGCTGAGCAGAGAGCAGCTCCTCCATGTGGCTCCAGCCACAGCTGCTGCTCTTCCCGCCTCCCAGTAGTAGAGGCTGGTTACTGCGGCCAACCAGACACTGACACCCCTAATCTGAGATCAGAATTGGACCCAACTAGCTTTAAGCACCTGAGGCCTGATCAATCAGTGGGAACAGGCTTTCTGGTCAATTGGAGCAGGATCAGGTCCTGAGTTGTTAAGCCAACTAATTAGGATATTGGGAAGGTCTCCTGTAACAGTGTTTTAAGTGTAACCCTCATCTCAAACATTTATTTAAATAAAATTCTTGGTTTCACATTCCCTCACCATCCTTTCTTACAATATATTTTTTTTTCCACAGGTTGTTGTTCTGAATTAAAGGGGTTGGTCTGGAGGGCCAAAGTGTCCACTCTTCCTATAGTTATAGCAAAGAATTAGCCTATGTCGGGTCTATAGTAAGGCTATTGTCTCTAGTAAGTAATTTGTACAAGTTATACCAGTTGCAAATTAAGTCTTATATGCTGTTCTCACTCAATTTCTCATCAGTGCTGCATTTTGTTTTGTTTATGTTAGTAAGGCTTCCATCTTGTAAAGCTGATTTCCCTTAAATTCTCCCCTCTCTTCCTCCACCCCATTGGGTACCTGAAGAATATATCTTATATAGCGATTCCATAGACTAAACGATTCTTCCATTTGCAGTTTTTATATTAGCTTTTAATGGCCAAATTTGGGCTCATGTGTACGTAGGAAAAGAGGTAGCAAGCCAGGGAACAAATGCTGCTTCTTGATATGGGAGGTGCTGTTCTAGCAAGGGGACATGTAGACACTTCCTGATGGTCTGCCTTTCAAGAATAATCTTAGTAGGGTCACAAGGCTTATAGTACTGCTGTTTCCCCCCCACTGTTTATGTACACTCCTCTGCAACTAGAAACAAAATAGGGCCTGAATCTGCTCCAAGGCCTATAAATCTGATAAAATCAGAGCAAGGTGCCAAGTGCAGAAATTATCCACAGTTAGTGCTTTCCTTTCCTTTCTTTTATTTTGTGTCTGAGACTGCAATGTTTTGTTTTTAAAAAAGCATTTGCATACTACAATAATGGACATTATACAAAACCTTAGTAGACAAAAAGAGGGGAGGAATAATAAAAAAAGCCTAAAAATAGTCATAAAATGTAAAAGTTAAAATTAATCCTCCACGTATCCCTGTTAACTTATATTTGCTATGTCAGATTCAATATTGAATTAAAAATCTAGACTTTGGAATCAATGTATGACCTTTTTCATAACAATTTCCTCTCATTATTTGAATGAATAATGACATCATAGACATTAAACAAATCCTAATGAGTTGCCTTCTCCCCTTTTAATTAAAATGTGATCTAAAAGTTTACTTTTTTTAGGAGCTAAAATTTGAATTGGCACACACAATTTCAGAACAATACCTATTATAGTCTTAAAAAAGTTCAACCATGATATAATGTTTCCCACTTGCAAGTATTTCTATGATTTCACAGAACCACAAATTAGTTGTTATTCCATGCCAGAAAATGCTTTAGGCAAGGTTTTGTCACAAAGCCTTGCCAAAAGCTCTCTAAAGGGGATAGTAATGAATTTATGCAGTTTAAAATACAACTTGCAACAAAGGATGTTAATTAAAATGGATTTTGTTGCGTGGGTGGGGAGAAAAGGGAGGCGGCATGTGAACGGGCCAATACTGTGAATGTTTTTTATTGATATGTATATTTCAGTTCTTCTTCAAGTGATTGCTCATGTCTATTCCACAATAGATGTGCATGCTCGCCACGTGCACCGGTGCCAGAAGTTTTTCCCCTACCAGTACCCATAGGGGAGCACCCTAGTGACCCCTGGAGTGGTACCTCCATGGCGCAGTATAAGGGGCGCCGCGCGCTCCCTCCACCCTCAGTTCCTTCTTGCCGCCAGTGAAGGTACTTCGGAACTGCTCTGCTCCAGCTTTGCTGTAGCTCGTTCCCAAAACTGCTTGTTCTTTCAGTGTATGGTACCTGTAGTTAGTTAGTTGTTTAGTTAGTTTAGTTTAGCTAGAGAGCCCGGACCGGGGCACGCCCCATGCCCTGGGTTTTAAGTCGTGCGACACTTGTAGGTGAGCTATGCCAGTGAGTGATCTGCACGCGGACTGTTTATGCTGTTTGGGGAAAACCCATCTCAGCAACTGCTGCAAGATTTGCAAGTCGTTTAAGCTCCGGACCAAGAGAGAAAGGGACGTTAGGCTCCGGGCTATTCTGATGGGGTCGGTTCTGATCCTGGCGCCGGCACGCCGCTCTGAGTCGGCACCAGGCTTCGACTAGTCGTCATCGCTCCCCATCCACAGGGCACGCCAAGAAGGCTAGGAAGAGGCCTTCCTCGCCGCGGCACTGGAGTAAACCTGGGACAGAGGCTAGACCCATATTGGGCAGTCCTTGATCCCCACTGGCCTCTAGGCCTCTGTAGCGGGGTGGTTACCCCACTCCTGCCCTGAAGGAGTTAAAAGCAGCCCTGGGGAGGGCTGTGGCTGGGAGAAAGCAGCTACTAAGCTGACTGGGAGGCAGCCTCAGCTGTGGCCATGCCCCAAACAGACTCAGCTCGGCCTATAAAAGACAGGGAAGCCAGCGGCAGACACACAGTCTCCTCTAGCTGTAGAGGGAGACAGGCCTGGCTGCAGGGAGCTAGAGAAGGTACCTGGAGTGGAGCAGGGCTGGGGGAAGGCCAAGGGAGCTGGGAGCTCCGGCCTGAAAACCAACCAGGCTGCAGCCTAGTATAAGGCCAAACAGGTACTGGGGTTGCAGGGGACAGCCCAAGGCTAGGCAGAGGCAGCAGGTCCAAACCCAACCTTGCCTGTGATGAGTGACTTTTATACTGCAGTCTGCCCCAGTGAGTGAAGGCTAGATGGTGACTGGCAGTAGCCCATGACTGAGACAAGGTGGGGATAGAGGGTGGGAGTTCCCCGGGGAGGGGAGACCCAGATCTGTGGGGGTACTGCCAGGGGGCAGTACCCCAACCTGAAAGGGGCACCGGAATCCAGGAGGGACTCGGGCCCAGCGGGGCACCGGCCTGCAGAGGGTGCTCCGGAGGCTGGAAAAGCTAATTCCCTGGACGACCAGCAGGAGGCGCTGCCGGGGTGAGTCCCGCCCCATTACAGCCTCTGACTCAAGTCGAGCGGAGTAGCCCGGTTCATTTGGAGCAGGCCTCCCGGATGTCTGGATGCCCTCCACACCGGAGGCCCTGCAATAGGCCCGGGATGTTATGTCCATGCTGGTACCAGGAGCACCATTGATGTCGGCCCCGCACTCCAGAGGTGCCATTCGCTGCCCAACCTCCATTCAGGGCAAAGTCCATGTGGATTGCCCTCGATGCTCACCAGGCTGTCTGGTTGGGTTCCATCTGACTGAGACTCTCGGCACTGCTCCACCTTGAGGAGCGAACACTGACAGGACTGAGGCAGGCAACGCCAAAGGTCCTCGTCTTGGAGGGGCTATCGCAGCTGTCACGGCACGAACGTCGTCATCGTTCCCGTTCGTCGTCCTGCTCCAGGATCCAGCAACAGCACCGCCTCTGCAGCCCCAGGCGTCGATCGCCATCGTCTCGCCATCGGTTCCGGTCCTCCACGTCAGGATCGCGGTCCCATGGTCGGCATCGCTCCTGGTGCCGCCGCTCCTCCCGGTCCAGGGACAGCGGCAGGTCGTATGTCAGCCCGGCCTCTCTTCGTAGTTGTCCATTGATGGGCCAGGCTGAACAGCCGGCTCCGCTGGTGCCATAGCAGGTGCACTGGCAATGGGCTCCATGGCCGGTCCAATGGTACCAATGGGCATCATGACTCCCAACGCAGCCCCCAGTGGGGGCTCGCTCAGTGGCTGGAGCCTCAGAAGGACCATCAGCCTCCCTCTCCAGACTGCACCGGCCTCCTCACCCTCCCGGATGAGGTGATTACGCCTCCTCCTCCCTCTGTCCCGCAGGAGGACTTTAGGACCCATCAAGAACTCTTAAAAAGGGTGTCATTAAGCCTCCACCTCCAAGCAGAAGAGATGGAGGAGCCCTCGGACTCCCTATTTAATGTACTGTCCTCCTCGGCACCGGGCAGGGTGGTCTTGCCTCTCCACAAAGGGGTGGTGAAAATTTCAAATGCCCTATGGCAAACCCTGGCCTCATTGGCCCCCCATCTCTAAGAGAGCAGAATGCAAGTATTTTGTACCTGCCAAGGGGCATGAATACTTATAAACCCACCCTGCTCCTAACTCCCTGGTGGTCGAGTCGGTCAACCACAGGGAATGGCAGGGCCAACCAGCCCCTACCCCGAAAAATAAAGATTCAAGGAGGCTGGACTTCATTGGAATAAAAATTTATTCATCCTCGAGCTTCCAGTTACAGGTGGTGAACCACCAGGCTCTCCTGGGCTGGTCTGAGTTCAATCTGTGGGGCTCCCTGTCCAAGTTCGAGGATTCCAAGAGCGTGACAGGAAGGAGTTCAAAGCGCTGGTGGAGAGGGCAACCCTGTAGGCAGCTTCGGATGCAGTGGACATGGCCATGAGTCCATGAGAAGAGCGTCATGGCTCCTGCTCTCTGGGCTGTCCAGTGAGGCGCAGACCTCCCTGCAGGACCTTCCGTTTGACGGCAAAGCTCTGTTTGCAGAACAAACGGGTACAAAGTTGCATGGCCTGAAAGATTCCCGCACGACTCTCCAGACTCTGGGTCTCTATGTTCCGGCTCCAGCTAAACCTAAGTTCAAGCCACAGCAGACTCCTGCTCAGGCCAGCCATTCAAAATACGAGACCACTTATAAGAAGTCGCGGGACTATAAGAGGCACCCACAGAGGCAGTCTCGGCCTGTCCCCCCCACCAAGCCTGGGTCCTCCAAGGGCAAGCAAGCAGGGAAAAGGCGGTTTTGACAGGATGCCTGGGGGCGCCCTGCCAGTTCTCATCAGGGATCCACCCTCAATAAAGCTTCCCTTCTCCAGTCGGTTATGTGCTTTCCTCACGGAGTGGTCGCGGCTGACCTCGGACCGATGGGTCCTTAACACCATCTCTCGGGACTACACCCGCCAGTTTACTTCCTCCCCGCCCAACCACCCCCCGTCCCCATCCCTCCTGGGGGACCCCACACACGAGGCTCTGCTCGAGTAGGAGGTGGGGCGGCTCCTGGGCCTAGGAGCAGTGGAAGCGGTACCCGGGGAGTTCAAAGGCAAGGGGTACTACTCCCACTATTTCCTTATCCCGAAGGCCAAACGGGGGCTCAAGCCATCTTGGACCTGCAAGGCCTGAACCAGTACATGGTGAATCTCAAGTTCCGCATGGTCTCCCTGGCCTCTCTCATCCCCTCCCTGGATCCCGGGGACTGGTACGCTGACCTCAATCTGCAGGATGTGTACTTCCACATTCATATATTCAAGGGGCACAGAGGCTTCCTCCATTTCACGGTGGGGCAGGAACACTACCAATTTACGGTCCTCCCATTTGGCCTGTCCACTGCCGCCAGGGTATTCACAAAATGTATGTCAGTGGTGGCGGCCTACCTCAGGCGCTAGGGGGGTCCAGATCTTCCCCTATTTGGACGACTGGTTGGTCAAGGGCAGCTCCTGGTCACAGGTGTGGTATCATGTGGCGCTCTTTCTGTCCATGTGCACCACTTTGAGCCTGTTGGTAAACAGCACCAAGTCCACATTAGTCCTGGTACAACGCATAGAGTTTATCGGGGCAGTCCTGGACGCCTTGTTGGCCAGAGCCTCCCTCCCACCGGACAGGTTCGAGACCCTGAAAGGCTCATCGACACGGTCACAAGGTTTCCGGTGACAACAGCCAGAGCGTGCCTCCAGCTCTTGGGTCACATGTTGGCGTGCACGTAAATGGTCCGTCACGCCAGACTCAGGATGAGGCCCCTCCAGCTCTGGTTGGCCTCGGAGTTCTCCCAGGCCAGAGACAGGATGGACAAAGTCCTCATGGTGCCTGAGCCAGTGATCACCTCCCTACAGTGGTGGTCCTCCCTGACAAACATGCTCCAAGGGGTCCCGTTCAGGGGCAGAACCCCGTCGCTGGAACTGGTGTGCGATGCGTCGGACCTGGGATGGGGGGCCCATGTGGGGAACATTCAGACCCAAGCTCTGTGGTGGGCTCAGGATCTGACCCTCCACATAAACGTCAAGGAGCTAAGAGCGGTATGACTGGCGTGCATGGCCTTCCACTCGCACCTGGAGGGCCAGGTGGTCAGGGTCCTCACAGACAACATGGCCTCGATGTTCTACATCAACAGGTAAGGTGGCGCCAATCCTCTGCCCTCTGCCACAAAGCCCTCAGACTGTGGGACTTTTGTATAGCCCACGACATCTGCCTACAGGCCTTCCATCTGCCAGGAATCCAGAATGTGCGGACGGATTGCTTGAGCAGGGACTTCTCCTCTCAGGACGAGTGGTCTCTCCACCCAGAGGTGGTGCACAGACTTTTCCAAGTGTGGGGAACTCCCCAGGTGGACCTGTTCGCGACTCGGCAGAACCGATTCTGCTTGGTTCTGCTCCAGAGGGGGGCTGGGTGGGGCGCTATCTCCAATGCCTTCCTCCTGTCCTGGTCAAGCCAGTTTCTCTATGCCTTTCCCCCATTCACGCTGATTGGCAAGGTCCTGGAAAAGATAAACATGGACAAGGCCCAGGTCCTTCTGATTGCCCCGGCATGGCCCAGGCAGCATTAGTACGGGACCCTCACGGACCTGGCGGTCGCCCCACTGTGGCCGTTGCCGTCCCGCCCGGACCTGCTCTCCCAGGACCTGCTCTCCCAGGACCAGGACCACCTCCTCCACCCCAACCTAGTGGCACTCCACCTCACGGGGTGGCTGCTCAATGGTTAGGTAGGGCAGAAAGGACGTGCTCAGAAAGGGTTCAGCGCGTCCTCCTAGAAAGCAGGCAGCCCTCTACGCATCGAGCCTACTTGGCAAAGTGGTCTTGGTTTTCCAGATGGGTGGACAAGTGAGGCATTTCCCTGGTGGCCGCCCCGATCCAGCTTATTCTGGACTACCTCCTTCACCTTAGAGCCAAGGGCCTGGCGCCCTCGTCAGTCAAGGTGCACCTGGCGGCCTTCCATCCACTGGTGCAGGGCCACACAGTATTCTCCCATGCTATGACTGGCCAATTCCTTAAGGGGTTGGATCGTCTCTTCCCGTATGTTAGGCCCCCAGTCCTGGGTGGGACCTAAACCTGGTGTTGGCCCATCTCACAGGGACATTTGTAGGGCTGCCACGTGGGCTTCAGTTCACACGTTCACCTGGCGTTATGCAATTGTCTCTCAGACCAGGGAGGATGCCGGGTTCGGCAGGGCCGTTCTCCATCCCGAGAGTTTGTGAACTCCTTCCCACCTCCAACAGATATAGGTTGGAATCACCTACTGTGGAATACACATAAGCAATCACTCAAAGAAGAAAAGACAGTTACCTTTTCCGTCACTGGTATTCTTCAAGATGTGTTGCTCATGTCTATTCCACATCCTGCCCTCCTTCCCCTCTGTTGGAGTTGTCTGGCAAGAAGGAACTGAGGGTGTGGGGAGTGCACAGCGCCCCTTATACTGGACCATGAAGGTGCCACTCCAGAGGTTGCTAGGGTACTGCCCTATGGGTACTGCTAAGGGAAAAAACTTCCAGCACCAGTGCAAGTGGCGAGCACGCACACCTATTGTGGAATAGACATGAGCAACACATCCCGAAGAACACCAGTTATGGAAAAGGTAACTGTCTTTTCTTCTACTTTTCTTGTTACACTAAGTGATCTCTGTTAAAGCTGTTTGTTTGAGAGATCATAGAATGCCTAAAGATAAACCTAAACTGAAATAGATAACAAATAAATCCGCCGACATCTATGACATTCTTCCAGCCTTCCACTAGCTGGTAAATGGGCCTGTTCACATTTGCTTTCACACCAACAAGAAATACAGATCTGGCATACAAAACAAGACTTGCTTGTTAAGTTCTCAGAGCATTTTAGTTCTCAGAGCATTTTAGTTGCAACTATTGTATTCTAAAAATAATTTGAGTACAATAGTTGCAACAGATACAGTTTTAAAGATTTAATTCAAGATTATAGAATCCTAAGAGCAATTTAAACAATGAAAAAAATTATCATTGTGCATCATGCAGTTCTGAGGATTCTAAATTAATATAAAGGGTTGAGAAATCAAACTGATGGCATGGAAAACATGTTCAGATTAAGAAATAGCGGATTGGCAAGAGTTCCTAAAGGCGTGGAGATAGGACAGATTAAAAAAAAAATTTTTTTGCAATAGGTTGTGATGGAGCTACAGATGAATACTTTTGAACTTCTTACACAAATTATGCTGTGGTAAATTTAATCCCTGGGAAAACCAACTTTTGGAATGAGTAATAAACTTTTAAAATTAACATGGATAATTGAGTTTCGTTCATATTTCTTTCATAGGAAGTTTTTGTCTAGTGATTTAAAGCATCAGACTTTGTGGAACTTGGAACCAGAGGCTTCTAAATGTAACCCTAGTTCTTTTTTACTGGGTGCGTGAGGTTAGACCTATGTCCTCCTGTCTCTGTTGAGTGTAATGGTATTTCTGCTTAAGAAGGAAGCACATTGTACTGAAATGATCACTTTGACACATATGGGTCTGCTACTTTTTCTTAAGTTAACTGCCCATTTTTATTCCTAGTTGTTGCTGCTATCACATTTAATGTAGTTTATGATGTTTGCAGAGGATTGATGGTGGTGGTGCAAAGATTAAGATTTATGACTTTCTGGGATGGGGTTGAGTTAATTGATAAGAGTTTTGGCTGAATGATGTGAGCTAATTTGGTCATACCTGATTTGTACATCAAGTTGTTTTTCTTTTTCTTTTAAAATCATGGGTCAGACAATTCTCCCCTGATGAAGTCATCCTTCTTACTCCAAGTTGCATATTTTCTACCCCAGTGGTTCTCAACCAGTAGTCCGTGTACCCCTGGGGATATATGCAGATGTCTTAGGGCAGAGGTGGCCAACCTGTGGCTCCGGAGCCACATGTGGCTCTTTAGAAGTTAATATGCAGCTCCTTGTATAGGCACCGACCCCGGGGCTGGAGCTACAGGCGCCAACTTTCCAGTGTGCCGGGAGGTGCTCACTGCTCAACCCCTGGCTCTGCCACAGGCCCTGCCCCCACTCCACCCCACTCCCCTGAGTCTGCCATGGCCTTGCTCCTCCCCCTTCCTCCCCCCAGAGCTTCCTGCACGCCACAAAACAGCTGATTGGGAGGTGCGGGCATTGATTGGTGGCGCTGCCAGTGGGCTGGAGGCGCTGGGAGTGGGGGAGCTGCTGATGTATTACTGTGGCTCTTTGGCAATTTACATTGGTTAATTCTGGCTCCTTCTCAGGCTCAGGTTGGCCATCCCTGTGTTAGGGGTTACATCAACTCATCTAGATATTTGCCTAGTTTTACAACAGACTACGTAAAAAGCACTAGCGAAGTCAGTGCAAACTAAAATTTCATACAATGACTTGTTTATACTGCTCTATATATTATATGCTGAAATGTAAGTTTATGTTTTATTTATGTTATTTATGTTCCAATTGATTTATTTTATAATTATGTGGTAAAAATGAAAAAGTAAGCAATCTTTCAGTAATAGTTTGCTGTGATACTTTTGTATTTTTAATGTCTGATATTGTAAGCAAGTAGTTTTTAAGTGAAGTGAAACTTTGGGGTATGCAAGACAAATCAGATACCCGAAAGGGGTACAGTAGTCTGGAAAGGTTGAGAGCCACTGTTTTACCCTAAAGAATAATCTATAATGTAAAGAGAGGGGCAAGTTTTCAAAATGCACAAGTTTCGTAACCTATGTTTTTGGGCATGAAAAAACTTGATCTTGTGAACACAAATTCTGCTTACACACACAAACATAATAGCTAGAAGTTTAACTACATGAACTCCATCCAGAAATACAGTTTATGATACAAAAGTTTTGTAGACACCAAAACCTTTCATTAAAACAAGTTGGTTTCAAATAACTTAGATGCAGAAAATTAAAGGTGCAGTTTTAGAAGCCTTCTCAGAAAATGTGTCTGTAGAGACACACTATCTCCAGTGTACCTTAACTGGGAGTATTTAAGAAGAAAATAAAATACTGCATACTGTTTTAATATACTAGAAGATTTGCTAAACAATATATTTTGTTTCTCCATAGTTTTAAAGGTAGCCAACTCTACAGTATACTTATAAATAAAGCTATTCAGAGTGCACTGACACAAAATACAATAGCCCAGGTGCATCTTTAACATGTATATGCTAATAGAATGTTTTTATTTTAATGTCATTCACTGTGTACTGCACTGTACCTGCAGTAATTTTTCTTTGTGCGTTGAAACCAAGATTTCTGCCCATTGGAGGTCATCAAAGAGCCTGCTGAACTTTCTGCAAGAGTAGGGTTGTTAATCCTGGTGACCTGGCCAAATTCCAATTTGGCCAAGTACTATTATTTATCCTATAGATTTAATTTCATAAAGTATTCTCTTCACTTCCTGTCCTAAATTGTTGTGTAGGCTTATTGTGTGCTGTACAACAGCTGTTGCACTCCATATGTAGTGGCTACATATCAGTTGTAGAGGGCATTTACTACAGAGTAAGGGCCACATTAAGTTTGCAACTAGGCTTCCATTAAAGGCCTTGTATAGTAAAAGAACAACAAAAAAACAAACAAAACCCACTACTTTTGTTTACAAATATCTTAGTCTCAGGCCAGAAGAGAATTCTTTTGGAAAGTCTAAAGCAAATCAGCCATGCCATTTAATAAGCCATTTTACAGAGCAGTGAAAATGTAACACATGTCTAAGTAGCAAAAAGTGTCTAGCAATTTTTGGGAAGATAGAAATGAAAAATTACTTGGATTTATGAGTTAATACTTCCCCTGTTCTTATTTCTTCTCAAGAACTGTTGCATACGTTAGATTAGGACACATTTAATCTAAAAATTGAAAAAGCTATTAAAGTTTTTTTGTTTTTGTTTCCCCCCCTCTCCAGTTTACTAGTTCTGTGAGAGCTGCCAGGTAGTGAAAGTGACTTAGCTGCTTACCTATTATTATTTAACAGAACCTAAAAGTGAGCAGGGTGCTTTACAAGCAAAATAGAATGATAAGTGGCCCAATTCACCTTTAATTTAAACCAGTTTTACTTTTGTAACTCCATTTACTTTAAATTAGTTATTTCTGAATAATACCAGTGCTCAGAATCAGGCCTAAGATCCCTAAAACCCTGATGCTGCATTGAGAACCACACAGGCATAGTGATGCTGCATCCGAAGAAGTGAGGTTTTTACTCACGAAAGCTTATGCCCAAATAAATCTGTTAGTCTTTAAGGTGCCACCAGACTCCTTGTTGTTTTTACACAGGCATAGTGGTTCTCAATGCAAGACTGAGGCCTAATATTTAGACATAATATGAGGAGTGGGAATAACAAACAGGGAAAAGATAGGATGAGGAAGGATGAAGGTCACATTTAATATTTAAAAGTTAATAGTTGAGCATGAAAATACATTACTATGCATTACTCTTTAAATAGTTCTATCAATTAGAATAATCATGCTCCGCACAACAACAAATACATCAGTATTTTCCCAATAATTTTAATACGCTTATTGACCCTGATTCTCTAGTTTGGCCAAGCTGCACTTGATACAGGACCCAAGGGTGGCTTTGTTACCTTTGCAACAACACAGTACTGTAACAGACTTGGTGTAAGTTATAGTAACTTCAGGGTTCCCACAACCTACACCCATCTAACTAGCGCACCAGGGGGCCATTTAGGGTGACCAGACAGCAAATGTGAAAAATCAGGACAGAGGGTGTGGGGTAATAGGACCCTATATAAGAAAAAGACCCAAAAATCGGGACTGTCCCTGTAAAATCGGGACATCTGGTCACCCTAGGGCCATTCGGCTGTGGCAACAGCTGGAACCTTACAATCCATCAGACAGATTCTGTGTATGGGACAAATCCAAGAAGACATGGAGACTTCATTAATAAAAAGAATATTGGATAGATACCCCCCAACTGGTGGGGGAAAGAAGAGGAGTCATGACCTGGTGAAGACCAGGGCTAGAATATGGTCCCTCCACACTGTTATAGCATAGTTTGCTTCCATCCACATAAACAAGACAAGGCCATGTCTACACTTACAAGCTTATAGCAGCATAGGTGTACCGGATATACAGCTGTGCTGCTATAAGGTCACTTGTGTAGCTGTGTTATGCTGACGGGAGAGAACTCTCCTGTTGACATAATAAAATCAGCTCAACAAGCAGCAGTAGCTTTGTCGGCGGGTGAGCGTCTCCCACCAACATAGCGCTGTGCGCACCAGTGCTTATGCTGGCAAAACTTAGGTCACTGAGGGGGGTGTTTTTT